AGAGAGGAAATGGCCTCAAGTTGCGCCAGGGGAGGTTTAGATTGGACGTGAGGAAAAATGTCTACTGAAAGAGTGGTTAAACATTGGACCAGGCTGCCCAGGGAAGTGGTTGATCCTTAATGATTCTATGATTCTAAATGTTGATGTGTATGCTACTCAAGTAGCAGGTTAGTAGCTGAATTACTTTGAGTTGCGGTCATATCTGGAGAATGATGTGGGCAGAAGGTGGTTGGGCAGAAGGTGGTAGGTATTTGAAAACAAAACAAGAAAGTTGTATCATAGCCTACCTGTGGGAATAAAAGCAGAGGGAAGGAAGACCTGCAAGAGGAGGTCCTTGCTAAATACACATGGGAGGGCAGCAGATAGTTTCACTCTTACGAGCTCAAAAGAATAATTGCAGTGCTAAAAATTGGTTTTCCAGTTTCGTGAGCTTTAACATAATTTTGTAGTGATCATGAGAATGAGATCCCTCTTCAAAAATTGGCTTTAATACATTTTAAAGATGGGTAAATTCAGAACTTGTTTTTGAACTTGTTGCCTGATATTCTGCTATACATAAATTGGAGTGGGATGACTTATTTTATGCTAGCTAATATTCATAACCTGACTTATAATGGCTTTAATCTAACATGTATCAGTGAGAAAATAGAGGTGGTTTGGAAAGGCTGCACTGGGTGCAGTGCTTGTATGTTCTTTCGATTACTTTGACCTGTCATTTTATGCACAATTTGACAAATTGCTGTTGCTCAGACTTCATGCTTGTATTGACAAGGAGTCATTGTTAAACTAGATTTTAATATGTTAAAAAGCAATTACATTAGTAACTTTATCAGTTTTAGCATATTAAGATAAAATTCACTTCAGGATTAAAAAATAATTTTCTTTGTTGCCATGTGAAGCTGTATTCAGATATAAACCTGGTATTTCTGTCACTGGAGAACAAAATTTGTAGTGAATGAAATATACCACTGTTGGAGCTGCCTAATCTTGTTTGAAAGAAATGTTTGGGGTTTTCCTGTTTAAGTGTTTTCTTTACAGTTTTCAGCTAGTAATGAATTTTATTGTTTAAGTACAAGCCAGTTTGAGAAATGCTGATCCAAGTTATATGTGTATCCCAGTCTTTTATGGTTTTCCCCAAAATGGTATCAGTTATGTGGCTGTTACTTTGCCTCTCCTTTTTAACAGATAATTGCTTTCAGATACTGTAACAGTGTGTACTATTAATGAAGCAATACCTGGAAATTACAATCCGATCAGATCTGCAGGCCTCCAGGTGCTGTATTTACAAAGTGCAAGACAGGACTGTCTCCAGATTTCCTAGTGCAAATTGAAAGGAGCCATGACCTGGATTAAGATTTTTTTTCTTCCTCATTTTGTACATGGGATCTGAGAATCAGAAAGGTCAGCGATGCGCTCAGAACACAGTGGCAGCTAGGGTTTGAGCAAATTTTTATGAATATTGATAAGGTACCTTTAGTACAAGACCACGGAGACATTCAGCTACTGGGCACCAGCTTTCATCTGTCTGGCCACTACTCTCTTGGTTTCTTTACATTTCCATGCTATCTGATATCCCATAGAGCTTCAGCAATTCCTTCAGTCTTTCTAAATACGTTAATTCTGGCATTTTTCAAAAAGGGACATCTATTAACATTTGTCTTTTAAAACTTTTTTTTAGATTGAGACTTGCTTCTTTTAGCCCTGTGGGGTTGTTACACACAGCACATCTTGGAAGAAATAATTTTTAATTATTTCTTTACCCAAGTAAATGTCAGCATAAATAGGCTATAGGTAGTGAAGCTTAGGTGGGAGATAATTTCCTGTTTGAAGTAATTTTTCATCTTTGGTCAATCTCTGTTTTTTGCCCTCACCTGACTCTATTTGACCTGGATAATCTTTTTCAATTACTCTTACTGTTCTCTCCCCGATATCCGGGATACTTCCCTAATCATCCTGGGAACTGTTCAAAACTATGCAGTGTTTTCCCTTTAAGGAAATGACGTGCCATTTTATTTTACTTTCCTTTATGTCAACGATTATGTTAAATACTGTGAAAGATTAAAATGTGAAAATAAATAATTAAATCTAAAGAACAATTAGTTTTCTTATTGTTTTAATGGTCTCAGAAAAAAGAACCAAATGTAGTTCAAATTCTGGGTTGTAACCGATGCAGTCTGCCTAAAGTGGCTAATGGACCAATTTTACTGGTCCTGCTGATTTCTTACTTTAGCCTAGATATTGTAAGAGGTATGTCCTACTGATTTCTTACTTTAGACTAGATAATGTTACAGGTATTGACTCTAATAGAATTGAAGGTCATTAATTTTTGTCTTTTTTTTAAAAAACATTCCCCTCCATCCCAACTCTGGGTAATTTTGGCCAGCTCAAGCTGAAAAATTGAAGGAGTATTTCTCTTGATATTGAATGTTTTACAGATTTCAAACATAAAAAGCTAGTTATATATGGTCAAAAACATTTTTTTGAAAACTTCAGAAATGTAACTTTCTTTTGGCAGAATTTGGAAGAAAGCCTCTTCAAAAGCATATCCTTGTCTATTCTGCTTCCTTTGTTCATGTGCTTCATGCATTTCAGCTTGGATTATTATAGACAAAGATATTTGGGTGGTATTTCACCATTTATGTGAACTCGTGCTTCCTGTGTGAGATTATTGTGTCCAAAGTGACTTGAGTCTTCTGCTGTTGTGTCTCTTCCTTGGCTGTGGCTACTGATGGGCTGAGTCATCTTTGTTTTGCTGAGTGGAAGGTCTCTTTACAGTATAAATTATGTTTTTATAGTTACATTGCTATTTGTAGGCTTAATCTCTAATTTACTATCTCATTTTGTTGTTTGCCTTTTCGCCCTTTGATGTGACTGAACTTTGCAGGTATTTAGTCCCCGTGATGGATAAACTGAGGATGTAATCTCTGGTACTTAAGCAAGGGGGATATTTATAGCACATGTTTGCACTAAGTGTTTATCTGCACAAGGGACACTGCAGGAAACGAAAGCTGTGGACCAAAGGTGTGGCCGTCAGAATACACATGGTGCTCTGTGGATAAATTGGCTTTAAAAAAGTGGCCTACAGTGAGACTTAACAAGGTGCCTGCACCAAGTCTGAAATACAACAAATACGCAGCAGTTTAGTACCACATCATGCAGTTCTCATCTCTAATATTTCCTGGGATTGCTGGCAGGGTGTGCCTTGCTGGAGTGCAGGAGGCACCGAGGCTCTGCCATCCAGACCCCCATCTTCTCCCTCTCTGCTGGGCCACTGGAGTGTGTGTGTTTGTGTGGTGGCAGCAGTTCAGCTCTGCAGACAGAGAGAACAGTGTAAGTGTTGCTATTGATTTAATAAAACATTTCGGATTCTGGCTGAAGGATAAAGGATGTACAGATAATGCAATAGCACTGTTACAAATAGGTACGCTTTATTCTAAAAGTTATACCTGACTTAGATAACATTCTTCTGAGGTCTCCTAGTTAAAAACAGTAGTTTAAAAAAAAAAGCAGCACCAGTTACAAACTAAGATAGTTTTTGGTTTTCTAGAAACAAATCATTGAGATTTCCTTTCCAACAATACTTCTGAAGCACAGATAAAATGGCTTCCTGTCCCAGGGTTTCCTGTATCCATGGCAACCTGACTTTAACCACTTCTTTCTTAGTTTCCTGAGCGAACAGTTGCAAATCCTGGGGCAAAATGTGAGTGCTCTAGTACGTGGCAATACTGCCTTTAGAAAGGTTTCACAGATGAGTATAGTCGGTCAGCTTGTAACTTAGTCCGATGAACTGCAAACAGCAAAATAACAGAAATAATGAACTTCAGATTTGGGGTAAGGAATTATTTTTATTTATTTTGAATGTAACTCAGCTTTGTAAAAGTAAAATTCAAATTATAAATGAGCTGCCAGTGAAAGGAAACTTGTTTCCAGTTGGTATTTCTACTTGGATGCTATTGAAACGTTTCCTAATCATTCTTAACCTATAAAAAATAGTTAATAAGCAGTATTTTGACTTTACTAGAAGCTGTTATTTTGGCAGCTTAGTTGCTTTTATGCTGCGACCAATTAAATATTTTCTGGCTAGGTTGGCAGTACATTTGTTTCATTGTTCAGTTACTTAGAAAATTTTTTCAGTGTAGTTCAAACTTATACTTAGTAAGTTTTATTTTTCAAATGCTTATTTGGCATCAAAGGAGAATATATAAAATACCAATCTTGCGTAATACTATATTTTCTGGCTAGGTTGGCAGTACATTTGTTTCATTGTTCAGTTACTTAGAAAATTTTTTCAGTGTAGTTCAAACTTATACTTAGTAAGTTTTATTTTTCAAATGCTTATTTGGCATCAAAGGAGAATATATAAAATACCAATCTTGAACGTAATACTTATATTTTAAAGACTGCACACGTAGAATCTTTAAACTTTTGAATTAATAATATTTATAAACTTCTTTTTATCTCTACTAGCGAAGTCAGAGATGAGTGAGAAGGCCAAAGACAGGGATATGTGTGGTCTGCAAAGTTCTCCACCCTGCCTGGGAGCATTCCTGTATATCCTTAATTGTTTTCTTTTGTTGCTGCTCCAGAAGGAGGCTCTTGGCTGTCCATCTGCTTGCCAGCTCTGCACAGGGAGACAAGTTAGCTGTCGTAATTTAGGGCTCTCAAGCATCCCACGGAACTTTCCAAAAACGACAGTTCTTGTGTACCTCAGTGGGAATAACATATCGCGTGTCACTCCAAATGAACTAAGAGGCCTTCAGAAGCTTGCTGCACTCTACATGGATAACTCCAGTATTTTGTATGTACACCCGAAAGCTTTTGTGGAACTCCCCAAACTGTGCTACTTGCATCTAAATAACAATAATATTAAACGCCTGGATCCAGGAATCTTTGAAGGTCTTTCCAATCTTCATTGTTTATACCTTCAGAATAATCAAATAGCATTTGTTCCCAGAGGATTATTTAGTGATCTCCTTTCCGTTAGATACTTAACACTTCAAAGAAATCGTCTCAATGTCCTTGGAAGTGGGACTTTCTTGGGAATGATAAGTCTCCAAACACTTAACCTCGCCAATAATAAGATTTCACGGATATCAGATTCAGCATTTCATCATCTTGAAAACCTTGCATATTTGTTCCTTGAAGGTAACAACTTAACACTTGTGCCATCGAATGCTATTGGAAGGCTCAAAAATCTTGAAAGACTTTCTTTGTCTCACAATCCCATTGGATCAATACATCCTTTTGCATTTAAAGGACTTAACAAGCTTAGATATCTGTCTTTGAAAAACGTAAAGCTAAAATGTATTGCTGTAAATGGATTTTTTGGATTAAACAACCTTAGCCAGTTAATCTTAAGTTATAATGATTTAGAAAATATAAATTCCAGCACTTTTACTTTATTGAACAATTTAATGTATCTGCAGCTAGACAGAAATAAAATAACCAGTATTGGCGATGGTACCTTTGAAAAAATGGGACAGTCACTTAAAATACTCAGTTTAGCGTTTAATAATATTACAGAGTTACAACCTGAAGTGCTCAAGCCCTTAGTGTCTTTAACTCACCTACAAGTAAATTATAATCCTTGGAACTGCAGCTGCAAAATGCTTGGGTTACTTAATTGGCTAGCATCGTCTCCTATTTCTGTAAAAATTCATTGTCAGAATCCCCTGAGTATGCGTGGTAGACCTTTGCATTACATTAAGCAGACTCAGTTTGCAAACTGCAGTAGCCCTACTGCCAGCCCAGAAGCAGCCTGGAGTCTAGGATCTGTAGGTGTCCATCACAGTGCTACCACTTTGCTGATGGCATGGCATAAGGGAAACAGGCACAACACGTTTGAACAGTTTGTCAATGCAGAAACTAATTATGTTGCTTTCTGGGAAGGAACCACAGCCACATCTGCTAACCTGTTGCCCTATGAAGAAAATGCTGCTGAAATTCCATCACAGGCAACTACAGTATTATCAACATTACCGGTGCAAATACCAGCACAGATTATACCTGTTAACAGAACCGTAGAAGAAAAAGGTTTATTTCCAACAGATGCTGCTCCTGTGTCACTAAAAACATCCCTACTTTGTACACAACAGGTTGAAAAGCTGAATCAGGCTTTTGACATTTTACTAGCCTTTTTCATTCTGGCTTGTGCTGTGATCCTGTTCTTAACCTGTAAAATTATTCAGTTTAGGCAGAAACTAAAGGTGCTGGAAAACTCAGGGGAAAAGAGAATAGAATATTACGGGTTTTATCAGCCTGGTAGATACAACATAACTGACCCAGTGCAGTCTCTAACTCAGAATTCAATGAGGCATTCAGAACTGGACCAAATTAGGCTGCTCAAGCGAACAGCATCTGAAAGTCAAGCACAGGTCATATTGTTTGAGCATTCATCATTGTAATTTATCTCATTGGATTTGGTGTTAACTTTATTGTGATCTGAAATGTCAAGAAATCAAGAACTCAATTTTCTAAAAATACCTTCACTGATTAAAATCAACTGGTTGATAGAATTTTGGAAAATTTGGGTTCTGCATCATCATTTGCTTCCTGATCGTTTTGAAGTTTATTGATTTTTATTAGATGTCATTTAAATCTGACATGGATAGGTATATTATCCTCTGTCCCTGTTGTAGGAATCTTTCACCTATAACACAAGTATACGTGGAGTATAAAGTACACATATTTATTTTTATTTTGCAGTACTTAATGGTATAAGTTTCTATAGAAATTCCACAGCTAACCTGAAGCTTGAAGCAAGCAAAACATCAGTTTTTAGCAGGATCATGAAGCCAAGAAATCTGGGGGAATTAGAAAAAAAGCAATGCTTCATGTATTCATTGTAATGCAGTTTCTACTCTGCCTCTATTAATCATCACTGTGGAAAAAAAGTGAGCATATTTACATCTAGTATGTTCAAACTCTCAAGGAAAAGAAATTTAAAACAAAACATTTTATTCATATCTATGACATATTTTAATATATAAAGTTGTGTATTCAGTCTGTATAAAGAATATATTAAAGTGAGTTTTTTCTTAGTGTGTATCTGTATCATTTTATGATAATACCTGAAACTGGAGTTAATAGGGAAACCAAATTTCTATTGGATTGAAAAATTCACCAAGTTTATTAAGTCTAAGGTAATAGGCTGGTTAATTATTGTCAATAAAAGATATTTTGTCATCTATATAGTAATAATTTGAGGGACTTCTTGCTAGATGAGAGGTATAAACTGAAGAAATATTCTACACTTCAAATACATCATTCTAGATTAATTGCTGAAGATATTTACATATTTGTGGTGTATATTTGGAAGTGTCAGGTCAAAGTACGTTTTCTTAGTGAAGACCTAATTTTAGGCTTTATCTTCAAAAGATGGATATTATTTTACTATATAGTTTGCTTTTGTTTTGACTTTTTATTTCTATTTCAAATATTGATGTTCTGTTTGTTATTGTCAGGTTATGTCTAGTGTGTTGTAGCTTTATTTTCAAGCTGAATTTCTGTGACTTTTTTTTTCTCATTGTTACTCCAGTAATTCAAACTTTATTCATATAAAAATATGTTCCAGATAGTCCAATCTTGTAAAATTTTCAGCTAGCTGAATGGGACTTACTTTTGTAGATACTGTTTGTCTTCTACAGCCCTGTGCCCTAGAGACTTCAACCACTTGGTTTATAAGCAACACAATTTACAGTTAGATCGTTTTGCTCAAGGAAGAAGGGAGAACAATGTTTTGCTAGTCTGTCCTCCATGGGGTCGATTTAAGTTGTGTAGAAATATCTTGCTGTTCCAGGATCCTGCCTGGAGACTGGGGCATTCTCCAGACGAACCAGAACTGCCCCCAAGGTTCTTGTTCTAGCCTGCCTGCTTTCTGCTGGTGTAACTCATGTGCGTGGCTGTGTTGTGCTGCTCCCTATCGTCCTGTTCGCCCATCTCCAGTTCATCTCCAGGAGTGACACATACTATCTGCTACCAGTACATATATAGACCTTGACTGCACTGTGTGGGTGTGAATGTGCAAGTCTGCCTCTGTTGTTGCTTGTTATGCGTCTCTATTGAATGTAATGAAATCTCAATTTACTATATTGTAATACTATATTTTACTGTAATTTACTGTATAATTGATCAAATACTTTTATGGAACACTTCATTCAGCTACTGGGGCAAAAGCTTAAACTATTTTGGATTGCTTGAGTAGAAACTTTTTTTTATAATTTTCTACTTGTAGATCAGATGTTAAATACAATGGGTAAATGTTTTTAAGGAGGGAAAACATTGACTCTAATTCATGCTTAATTTTTTTTTTAGGTGGCTAATCCATTACAGTCTCTTCCTCTTTAAGCCATTTTTGTTACCTTCTGCCTCTCCTACATAATCCTTATGATAAGTGTTAAATTTGTTTTCATTTAATAACAGCTGCATAATCAGTGATTGCACAGTAGTAGGTTCTGCAGTTTTATGTGCTATATTTCTAATTTTTCAATTATATATGGATGTCTTCAGAAATAATGGACTTAAAATTCAGTGGAAGCTAGTTAACTAAGTTTTTTCATTGCTAGAAATGCTGCTGTGCCTTTGTTAGAGAGGAGTTTTGAGAGTGGGCAAAGGTTGAGACTGAACAAATCTAGTTCTCGAAGAATTCTGACAGGGGACAGCTCTGGTGTTTTAGGCTCTGATTTCCACAGCTGCTCTCTACAGAAAGAGCACAAGAGGTTCTGTCTAAAGGTGCATCCTTTCCACTGACAAGCTGCTGTAGGAGTTTTTTGCCAGGTATGAGTCTCACCATCTGTAGCGATGGAGCATGAAAGGAAACCGGTGCTGTCAGAGCTGTTTGTGCAAGGAAAGAGCTGGAGCAGTTGGAAGCCATCCTTTGGAGTGGAGTCATCCTCTAATAGCCAGCTTGCCAACAATTTGGATTAGACTAACAAGGAATTGAGAGATTCATTTTGCAGTTAACGGGGGAAATGCCTTTCTTTTGCAGTTAGTAGCTTTTGCATTTAAATGTTCACCCTAGGAAACATCCTTTCATGTACAGGTGTGATTCATATGCCTAACTATTAAAATCATTAGAGAATACATCAGAAGACTTAGCTGAGTCTGCCCTCATGAAGCAAAATGGCACTCTGTGGTCATCAAGTTTAAGGTCAGCCATAGGACTCCCCTGGAAATGTTGTCTTAGCTGCTACATTACCGTTTTAGGAGCTCCTTAGCACTGTGCAGCTCCTAAGGTGTGTGTGTGTAATAATGATTTACATTGCTCACAGTATATGCAAAGTAATCTCCATTTGTCCCTTTCCACCTCTTTCCTTGGCTAATGAGATAAGAATAAAGAATTAATTAATCTTTCTGAAATCTATTGTACACTAGTAAAGATACGAACTTAAGCTTTTCCCTTTTTTGGTGTTTACTGCTTCATCCTGGTGAACGTAGAAAAGCAGAAAAGATTTTCTCCTCTTCCTTTTAATCTCTAAAAACATATGTTTTTCCCATGCAGAATTTTTCCTCCTTCTCTGATAGGCTGAGGAAGATGCATAGCAGACATGGAGACCATTTTATTTAAATACCCCTAAAAATTTATCATGATACGTGTTTTATTAAGCTGATGATAAAGCTTTATTTACAGTGGCCATCTATGTAATTGAAATCCGAATTCTGAATTTTCTCATAAAACCTCAGGATAATAAAAATGTTGAATAGATAGCTGAGTGTATTAGAAATGATAGAATGAGAAAAAATGAATATTACTTTTTTCAGAACAGATGTGATCTGTTTTTTCCATTGCAAAGCTTTTATTCTTTTATCTGACAAATTATGCAAACTTTGAAATAAAAGGTTTGAGATTATTCATGTACAAGCTGCCCTAAACGTTTGCTACATTTTGTTTTCATTCTAGGCAAGGTGAATTTTATTTACAGACAGCATAAAAGATCCTTTCTCTAATAAAAAATAATGTTAATATGTGTTAATTGCATCTTTGAAGCTGGGTTCTGGAGTGTTTTAGATCCTAACTAGTTTATAGAAGTTACAATCCTCTAATTCTGGGCCTGTCTTTTGATAATTTTTGCTGCATACCAAATGAGGTTTTGTACTGATAACTTAGGGAAGCCGGGTAGTTATGAAACCAGTTATAACTTGATGCTGTTTGTTCCATTGCTGATCTGGATTATATGCCATTCAAGGGGGGAACTGCTTAAATGGTACCTCCCTGCCGAGTTAACAGTATTAAGTGTTCCGTTTTGAGAGGTCATCTAAATACAGTGTCCCTGTCTTTTCTGCATCTACTGATATGACTTTCTAATGTATTTCTTGACACAAGCAGGCTAATTTTAGTCTCTTTAAAAAGGTATTACGTTGATTTGCATGGCGCTCGCTCTCTCGTATGAAAATAAGGCCTGATGCATTTTATATTGCCATTGAACTTTAATTGAGGTTTCTTTTTTCCAAAGCACAATGAGCCTATGCTGTCTTTATTTTTCACCAGCATGTGTCTTGTATTCTAAAAATAGTCGCATTGTTTAATGATTCCATACTTGGTAAACATTTCGGTGAGTCTTTGGTAGGAAGAAACTTCATGTCCCATTTAAAGGGAAAAAAAAGGGGGAGAAAAGAGAAGGTATTAGCTTTACTGAAAGCAACAGTTAGCCCGTTTTGAAAGGTCTTCTACATTATTTAGTTTTGCTTTCCTCAGAAAAGGAAAAATTACCATGAATTTTCTGTCTTTTACTGAAGTAAGAAGTAAAATATCCTTCCTCATTTATGCCATAAAGTAAAAATATCCTCACCGAGTAAAGAAATTAATGATTTCTTTGTGTGCTTTGGAGCTAACTATCAAGAACAGTATTTTGGGTCTTCAAGCTTGGAAAAAAACCATAAAGTTAATGAGCACTATGCCTACAGTATTTATTTACATGTTGGTTAATTGAAGTAACCTCCCTGAATAGATTGACCATAATTAGCCCTGCAGCTGATGAAAAGGCTATGCCTTCATTGGGTCAAACACCTTTCTCTTCGCTCCCAATATAAAATTTCTGTGGCAGTTAGGGATTCTTCATGCAGCTTGGAAGGAACAAATATAACTACTGGATAATGGATAGCAACCTGTATTATTAATTAAATAGTGCATACGTACAGGGCATAGTTTACTTCTCCAGGGTGCACAGTGTTTGCATTTGTTCTCTGCTGAATGCCCCTTGTCCTCTATTGACACAAATCTGAGGACAGCTGTTTCCTTTCTCATATTGGAAAATATTAACCACACTAATGTGGTTAATTAATCTCTAGTGTTAATCTCTAACATCATATTGGAAAATATTAACCACACTAATGGCGTTTTCCTAGAGATGTGTTTCAAAAAAGGTATGAGGCAAAAGAGCTTTAGTGGGAGGTGTGCTAGGTGGGA